ACCGTTAAACAGGCCAACGAGGAACAAAACGCGTACTTGAACTCGATGTGTCCACGACTGCAACAAACGTTATTGCTGGGAATAGCAACGCGTCTGACAGCTGGCAGAAACCCGCGCCTTGCAGAACCGGACAATTTCAGACGGTCATGAATCAAGAAGGGATGACCCACAGGAGCCGGGGACGCCAGATTCTGACATGTTCCTGTGATATGACTGATTTTATGAACAAAATAATGGTAATGGGTCCTGAAAGGAATGGGACTTGGGTTTATGTATCTTCCTATCAATATATAGCCTCTACACAGAAGCCAACTCTGTGGGAAAAAAAATTCTCGACTCGACCGGCGAGCCACCATCTCGGTTGAGATACCACCGTATCAAGAAGATCTCTCACCCTTGCGTATATAACGGAGGGTCGACTATTTTCGCAAGCTCTGATTGTAGCTTCTCCGAAACCGGATCACATATGTGTTGGAAATAGACGACCGCTTTCCTTCCAATCCGGAAGAACCTCCAATGGAAGCAAATCTCTCTCCTAAGATTGTTGCCGGGATGCCCCGACGGAGGGTTGAGCCACAGACATTCTACACACGAACGGTGAGGGTCGGGAAAGCCGAGGCGGCAGGGACAATTTCATCGGCGGAAGTGGTAATTCCCTAAACGACTCTCGAATAAATCTGGGACTGGCCCGACAATTCCTATGAGATTGAGATTCGTAGCTCCCGGGCATGCCCTCGAGGAGTAGCTTGAACAACAAGTGGATCGTTTCAAGTGAGTCTCTCCGACGAACACTTCACGGGTTCTCTCTTGCACCCTTCCCTTCTGAATTTACTATCCGCGGCTTCTTCCAACCTTGAATGCTTAATTGCATCCTACGGCACTTTTTCCATGCGATGTTCAAACAGCTCCTTTCTGAATGGGAACATTCGAAGCTGTTCGTGGGGGAGTTCTCGAACAGACGAAGCTCTTCGCGCATCTCGAGAGTGGCCTCGTTCGGACTACGTGGTCTCTCGCGAGGACAAGTGCTCCTGAGAGATATACTTCAGCGTATCTGCGAGCCCAAGACTGAACCTCGGAGCGGGAGTTCCTCCAGAAGCTCGACAAATTTTGATCGGCTGGGATTTTGCCGTCGGGTCCGTCGCCTTCGGCGATAGGAGGAACCTATTTGCCCCCTTCCGCGGCTCATTCCAGCTGATCTCGACGATAATGTTCCGATTGCGTCTCGATTTTGAGATTTGTCAATAACTCTTTCGAGCCGGGAGAGGTTGCCAATATTTGTTCAACTGCGCTGTAATTATGGCTACCGAACCCGCACGACCTACCGACGGGTTCTAATCTGCTGCGAGGTTTGGAAATCCGAAAGGCGTTCTCGAGGGCACGGTTATCTCTGAAATCAACCAGTTGAGCCGCTTTTCGCGTTGTAAGCCCTCATTGTCCCGATAGAAACTGGTCTCTTGGGATCTCCAGAGTCGACGAGGGCTCAGACGTCGCCACGACTACGTTTTGAACAAGAGATATGATTCAAATGAAGATTTCGATCCGCGTAACCAAGCACGCACCCTCATCTTTCTGAACTGTGCACGATTTTCGCGGGTGATTTCGTGAACTGTTTCCCCCTCCTAAATACTCTCAATCGCGCTACGGAGCTGCTCGCTCCCGCGACAGGATAGCGTCAGATAGCGAGGCAGGAGTACTCGAACAGGAGCAAATCGCGTGTACACGTGTAGAATGACATCGCGATAGGTATCCGGCGAAGCTCATTCTTAGGGGCATAGACAAGCCCTTCCGCTGGCACGTTCGATTCGATAACGCGCGTCCGACAGATTTGCGTAGCGCATGAATCAGGGCGATAGGGTCGGTGGCATGAGCGGTCTGGGGTTGTGGTCTCATAATTTATTTTTGCTGAATGACATCCTTACTAGAGGGATCGATGTCCAGTGTCCTGGCAAGCTCCCATTCACTCTAAGCTCGGGATGTCGCGAGCTTCCTCTTCGAAGGGACGATCACTGGGTTGTTCTTCCACGGAAATTCGTCACTTGTCCCACTCGCGGACGGCAAGATTCTACCGAGGAATAATTTTCGTATGCAATAAAAGTGATGGATCCGACCTCATTCCAGACAGTCTCCGGAAATTCCTCTTCCCCGAATTGCGGACTGATCTCGGTCTAAGTAAGCCCCAACTCCCCATGACTATCAGCGACATTTTCTTGAAGCTCGATCTATTATCTCGACGTCTCATCTTCATAGCAGACCACGCTCGGGTTGCGACCGGATGCGTGGCAATGCGCTAGTTCCGAGCTCAGGCACCCGATGGCTCTCCGCCGAGAGGATAAGAGGCTCAATCAGGACTTCCGAAGACCCGGAGTTTCATAAGGCATGGAACGCTTGCCTCGACGTCCGGCTCCCGCGATACGGCGTTTAGAGGGAAAATCGGTCTGGAGAGGGACCGAGTAGAGATAGGAGGAAACTCGCTGTGCGTCATTCCCCCGACCCAGAGAAGCGACGGAAGCCGTATCAGACCATAGTGCACCCGTTCGAGGATTGCTCGACTCGCTCACCGAGATACTCATCCAGGAACTCGTTTGAAGATATCGAGAAACCCCGAGAGATCACTGCGAAACCTGGAGGTGTCTCGCGATAGATTGCTCGAACCTTGGGCTTGTTTCGCTAATATTGTTAGGGAAACTGTTCGAGCACAGACAATGTAAACCTCTGGCAGGTCTCTGAGAAATTGAGAGTCTCGATACGATCTCCGATCATCGGTAGCGACTACTGAGATAGATGCCCCAACGACGAGACCTAGGCAATGATGTATATTTCTATCGTCGATGTTGGCTATCGTCACAAGGAACACTGCTATCCCCGAGAAGCCCCGCAGGTGGTCGAGCAAAATTAGCGACGTCCGATCTGGCCGTATGGCCGATGTATCGCCAACTGCTTCCTCGGTCTACTAAGCTCGAAGGCGACCGACTGATCTACACCCTCATCCGATCCCGGATTTTAGTCTAAAATGCACGACCGGACTTCCCATGATCGGCAGCTCTCTGGGAGCGCAACAAACTCTGCCTAACAGGCTTTTCGTTAAAGGGAATAGATGAGCCCTCTCCCAACACGGCTCCGTTCCGTTTTGTAGAGTCGGACCGTAATGCGTTTTGAAAACGGGCATCCGGCAGTCCACCGAGACAGCACTGAGAAGTGATGCTCCAACCAAATCTCTGGAGAGAAAGAATGTTCGAAAGCGAACATGGACGCTCTGGGGAACAAGCGAGAGGTTTCAAAAATTCTTCGAGCGTTCTTTCCGGAGTCCCACGCTCTCTCTCTCCGTCTCTCCGAGAACGGCATTCGTCGTGCTTTTCGATATACCAACGGTTCGGAAAGGAGAAGACAGCCGTCGTCGAGTTCCTCTGGAGATATCGAATCGAACAACAGGAGCACAGGATCGCGCTAGCGACTCTTCTGGAGAGTGATTACATTCCTCCGATGGAATCGATTCCCCCAATGAGCGCGCAGTCGAGTCAACAGCCGCAGGAGCCTGTGATCCGAAATTCGCACAAATCTCCCGAAGTACCGATCTCTGCATCCGATGGACGAACTTTGACCTTGCCGCAGGTAATTGAGGTGACGGTATTGGTCCGGTGACCTCAACGGACAGATCATCGCATACCGCGATCGCCGGAATCGCGGGACGATTCCTGCCTATTGTCTCCTATAAATGGAGGTCGTGGCCTCGCGCTGATCATCTTCCTTCGGACCTTGATTGAGAAATATTAAGGGGACCCCAATCTATCCAGTCGTAAATACAGGAGTTTTTGGGCAGATTTTTCAACGAGTAGCTCAAGGGGATAATTAGCGGCATATCTCCCGCGCTGCGGCATTCTTCCCCCGAAAACGGGGAGACAACGCCCGCCCGTGCAACGCTCCAGCACTCCGTGTCTGGAGGCCGCCGGAAATGTTATCCACCGCCTCCGTATCAATATTGACTTATCGGAGCTCGTCCGACTCTCGTCCGGCTGACAAGTTGCCTCGCATTCTGCATCGATTGCCAGGCGGAGTTTTTTTTCCCCAATAGATTTAGACCATGACACATGTAAAAAGCAACCCACGCGCTCAGAGGCGGCTGAAGAACAGAAACGAGAGTCACTCCAGAGCTTTTCACTTCGAAATGTAGCTCTGGGGCTCGTCCCGCGCGGAAAGCTGGTCGCCGAGTATCACGAGAAGTAGCGTGTCTCACGAACAACTTGTGGCTTTACCGGGGCACACGACTACTCGTATCGGATCGCATGTTCACATCTCCATCCAGTTTATGCTCCGAGCCGAGAGGATAAATCTGTTTCTGTCGGGAATGGAACTGGACGTCCACCCGGCGACACGGTGGAGACAATGTCGAGAGAAGGGATGCAGCAATAAATGGGAACGGAAGGATTTCCTGCCATCTGAATGAGCCAAACAAGACCCCACCATCAAACTGGATTGGTGACCATGCTCATCTAGTGGAAGTAATCCAATGGTCTCATGTCCCTCGACAGACGGAAGACATGGCCGCGGAATGATGAGGTCGATGTAGTGAGGCGCGAGCGCAACAGCCAGTTTTATGGTTTGATGAAAAACGCCATTAGGTGCTGGTATCTATGATGTTTAGCCGAGTAAGCGGAACAACGTCGAAGATGATGAGTATGCGCGAGCCAAGCCACGCGGAAAGCCTCGAGCGTCAGAGATCATACACGAGCAGGCTCGCGATGTATTCGCCTGGGCATGAAATCGGTGGAAAAATCACCGAACGGAACAACGACCTGAAGATTCCCCGCGGCTGTTCCCCGGGGATAACCTGCTGCCGATAAAGCGTCACGTGTCAGATTCTGTGAGGGAGTTTTTCGCTCGGACAAATCTGGGGAGATTGTGGTACATAGATAACGGCCGGATGCTCATCTGTTCGGAAGCTCGACAGTCAGGAGCATTTCATTACAGAATTTCATTAGCGGAGAACCTTCCCAAGAACTCACCTCAACGGTCTCCGTTTGATCGCGTGACCAGTCGTGATGGTGGACAGCTGACAACCGGCCTCGGTGAGAGCGATCTCGGTCGTGTCCTCGCTCATTATATGATGATTCCCGGTTCCACCCAACGGGAAGATTGCAAGATTATTCGGCCGAGTAATTTCGGCGTTGATCACTTTTCACACCTTTAAGATATTCCGGGGTGCTGATTTCCTCGATTCGTCAGGCAGCACCTACCGACAATCTCGATCACTTTGGCGAGCTCCGCGGAGAAGTTCCTCACAATGAGTTTCGAGCAGATATGTCAAAATATACGGCGCTATCCCCGAATCAAGCCTGCGGAGACGTTGAGCGATAAGCGACTAACCCGTCTCGAGTTCTACAGGGGAGAATACGTGGGGTTCTCTTTCCCGTCAGGGGGAAGGGACGTCCGGGCCCTCTCCTCGCACTCTGTGGGACTCGGATTCGCAGCTCGGTGGGGATTCAGCCCGTCCTCTATTCACCATACGTTCTTCAATCTAATTTTCATCTCGCGGAAGCGGCTATCGACGCTTTCCTCACCCTTCTGCTCGTCTCGGCTGGATGAGCGCTTCGGACGTCATGACTACGAGCTGTCGAGGTCTCGAGAGATTCGGTGGCTCCGTCCTAAGAATTTTTTCGCGTAAGTTCTCGGCTCCACACGTTGAGTGGCTCCCTGCCCGCTTGAGCTAACATCCCGGTATTAGATATCGTCCAAGTTTTGAGAATAACTGATTATCAGCAGCAAGGAACACGAGCCAACAAAGAGGACGACTTGTTGTTCCGAATAATGAGGCAAATCGAAGAAACTTCCTCAGCTGGCATAGCTCCGACTCCTGACGCTTAAGATTTCGTAATGGACAAACATGGACCTCAGACGGTCTCACCGAATACTGCGGGTGACTGGAGATGATGCGTCGCGTCATTGAGAATAAATAATGGAGCGTGGTAGAGGATGTTACTGGAAACTTCGAGACTTCCTTTTCGTGCGTAATATCCGGACGAACAGCAGCCCGCTATTCGTCCGGAATATACGGCAGCGGGTATAAGCGACCTACTTTTCCTTTGAATTTTCGAAGGCATGTATGTCTGCTGGTCATCTATACATATAAAAGAGAGATGGCTTCTGTATGTATGTCCTCTATGCATTCCTAAACGACCCATAGTATCGCCATGAAATTCGGCAAGAATGTCGACACCGAATCCGAATAGGTTTTAGGCCAGGCAAAACACGACGAGGATCCTCCTAATTCCGGGAAATGCCAATTTTCCCTGTTCCCTCACATTGTCGTCCTCCGATTCTGGAAGAAAGAGAGCACTAGCGGGCGCTCTTTAGCGCTCAGGGCAATACCGGGAAACGCGAGTTTTTGGTTCCACACATTGTCGTCCTCTGATTCAGTTTGAATGAGAGCACCCGTGAGCAGTCCTAAACGGAATATCGAAACGTATCGAATCGAGCTTCCGAGGAGGTGCTGCTCCTTTTTTGACGGTGTCCGAGGAGGTGTTGCTTCTTTTTTGACGGTGTTGACAATTCTGCAGCGTGGATCCGAAGGCATGTAGACCAGCCAAATGGCATAATTTTTCATCATCAAATTTTCATATGCATGCGAAGTGATGCCACCTAAACGTTCGGCACTCGGTCGTACGACCCATCAAGCTCAGCAGAAACGAACTAGGAGGATTTTGGAGACAGATTCGGAAAACCGAGCTCGATTGGAACAAAACGGACCTATATCGCCGAAGTCCGATCGTTCGAGACCACTTCACAACGCCAATCGAGGTTGTCAGCCAATCTTGCTCGCGTTTCGCAAAGACGGGCTGAGGAGTCTGATGAGCAACGTATCTCTCGAATGCAAGCTGATAGGGATTGTCATACCCAAAACCTTGCTAGCGAGACTGATGATCAGAGAGTTGAGCGTTTACACGCCCGTCGCGAGCGTAATCGGCGTTATCAGCTAAATTTTAATGTTGATTTGAAGTGTGCCGCATTTGACTATTCTCCTGACTTCGATTATAGCTCTCATCCATGCGCTGTTATTGGAGCCATGGATAAGATTTGTGCTCATTGTCATGCGATCAAATTCAAAGCTGAACCCCCTGGAATGTGCTGTTCTGGCGGTCGAGTTAAACTGCCGGAATTATCTCCACCACCCGAACCTTTAGCATCATGGCTCTTGGGCGAAACAACTCAAGCGAAACATTTCTTGGCCAACATTCGGAGATACAACTCATGCTTCCAAATGACGTCATTCGGGGCGACAGAGATTTCTCACGGTAATTTCATGCCAACCTTCAAGGTGCAGGGGCAGATTTACCATCTGGCAGGATCACTCCTCCCGCTTCCCGAGTCTGACCATAAGTTCCTCCAAATTTACTTCATGGGGAACTCAGAGGATCAAATTGAGCAGCGATGTCGCATAGACTCGCAAACTCACCGAGAGATAATTGCTGCTCTTCAAATATTGTTCGATCAGCATAATTCTTTAGTCAGACTTTTCAGGACCGCTCTTGAGCTTATGCCGACAGATGAGTACGTGTTTGGCATCAAAGCCGACAAAGTTCCTGTCGGCGAGCACAGACGTCGATACAATGCACCTTCGATTGACGAAGTAGCCATTGTCATTGTGGGGGAAAATTTCGATTCGCGGGATATTGTATTACATAGGAAAAACGGCGTCTTGAAACGTGTGAGTGAGACTCATCGATCATACGATGCTTTGCAGTATCCGATCCTTTTCTGGCAAGGGGAGGATGGCTATCATTTTAATATTCGTATGAGGGAGCCATTTTCAGACATTGAGACCGACAAAAAAGTCAGCGCAATGAACTATTATTCGTATCGATTGATGATGAGAGACGATTCGGACAATCATATCTTGAGATGTCGACAACTATTTCATCAGTACGTTGTGGATATGTATGCAAAGATTGAGGCAGAACGTCTCCTATACATCCGATTGAATCAAACCAAATTGCGAGCTGAGCAATACATACATTTACGGGATGCGATAAGCACGGATGCGGTGTCATTGAAAATTATTCGAGAGCGAGAAGCATTCGAATAAATCAGTTTCTATGAATGAGAGCACTTAAATGAACAACTTTGAAACGGGAACGTTTTCCGTGCTACGCAATCCAAAAAGAGGAACACAGCCGCGAAGCGGCGACGGGCTCCGCTAGTTGGTCATAAATTGGGCGAGCTACTTTTCCAGGCCACAGAGGTAGCCCGTTTCCTCAATAGCCTAGGACTAGCGGAAATATCTTCAAAACGTCAAAGAAGAGGTAGGCTTCTTATGCGCGAGATTTTAGGACACTCGGAAGCGGGTCCGGGAGCCTGAGCACGGAGGGGACCTTGATTTTCTGTCCTGATGGATCAAGTTCTCGCTGCAGATGATCTCGAATCAGGAACAAGGACGGGGATCAGGATCAGAAAATAGGCTCGGGTGCGGCGTGCACCTACTCCGCTGCGAGGAATGGTTCGATATCTAGACGCGCTTTCCGGATGAGTTTCCGTGGGCTCTTCGACTGGTACGAAGATGGTGCCCTGGAGGGATTTCCAGAAGAAAGATTCGATCTTGGCCGCCGGGAGAGAGCGTGCATATCCCGGCCACGATACCAGCCGAGTTGATTTGTGATTTTTCTCTGAAAGCCATGCCTCCCTGGTGATTCTCCGTGGATTAAATACAAGACCTAAGGTCCAGTCACGAGGAGAGAAGAAGACGGTGTGCTACCAGGGTGCGCCCAGATGTGATTGAATGGGCGCGCCGAAAAGTCCCCAACCTAGAGGAGGATGCTCCATTATAAGCATATATCCCCGGTGCGTTCAATTTCTTCTCCGAAACGGACGCATTCGGTTTTTCAGCACGATCAGTGGGGGAGAAGAGTTTGTCTTTGGCGTCCTGAATTATCAACTCTTACACTATACATGTCATACGAATGAGATGCCGATGGACGGTAATCACAACCCGATCCCGGGGAGACACTTCCTCGATGAAGAGAGAGACATGACTTCGCGAATCGAGGCCTGCTCCGAGTCATTGTATGATTCCTCACCCCGGAGGCACCGCTCCGCAAGAATTCGAAATATTCCATGCTTCGACCTAGATGGAAGAGACGTGAAATCATCCTTGTGCGTTTTCTGTTTATTGGTTGCTCCCCTATAATTCTGAATTATCTCGCGTCACCGTCATCGCTCGGGAACCTCGATAATTTACCGAGCCCTGTCTTACTCCAGATCATGATCTCAAGCCCTATGACGTGATCAACGTGCACACCAGATAATCACAGCATAATGATTACGCTAAGCATAATATATTCCCTGGGAATGAAAAGACGCATGACATTCGACAACGATGAATTCAAGATCGTTGGCTTTATATTCGATTTCAGAAGGTGGACTAAATTCAAAGCTTAGGCTAGATGGAATTCCCTTGACCCGTCCAAGTGCGAGAGCTTCCCCCAATGTTTCGGGTGACGCCCTCAAGATTCGTTTCTAAATTTCGCATTTCTCTATCAGCTATGTTTGTCTCGAAGTTTCTTGAGCGAGTGGTCACATTTCGCGGGAACCTCTAAATAAACATCAATCCTAAACGCGTCCTCCTCAGCGCGTGGTTCAATGGAATTAGCTGTACCCATCAGGTGGTAGGAATACACGGTGAATGCACATGGCTTCATCGCGAGCGGATGAGAGAATTAACGCGAATTTGGAAAAGAGGAACCAATTGGCAGTTGTTCGAATATTTAATTTGTAGATGGGGCCGACTTATGCTCTCGCGCATCTGAGTCTCCTTCGACTCGCGATTCTCCTCCGCGTAAAAAAGCTCCCTTTGCAAATAAACAAGGCAGTGCAATGAATGGCGCATGATGGTGCAGGAGGGGATGGGAGAAGGCGCTTTGAAGAAGATGGGAAATCAAGAAGAAATTAAGGAGTGCACTTCTGAGCCGTTTCTCTTTGGCAGTAGGTGCTCGTAGTGTGTAGAATTCTTAGGAGGGAGAAGATCTCCGGTGCGGAGAAGGCAGTTGTGTTAGATGAGGAGGTACCTAATTGTAAGGAATGTTCCGGAGGACACTCCGAACGCTCAAAGGGCGAGCGGAAACACAGTCTTCGAGCCCTGAGCTCGCTGAAATGGGGAAACTAGCAACTCCCGATTGAAGATGAGCCTTCGGAACGAGCGGGAACATAATCTCGGGATGCGGCTGGAAGCTGAGCGATCAGGAAGGGGATTTACGTCGCGAGGTGACAGCAGTTTGCCAGTCGACAAGGCTGATTTGCAGCGGGAGATCTCCGCTGCTAGGAAACTCACCAATCCCGAACATGTGAGAAGGCGAATCATCATTATATTATGCTAGATTTTTCGACTACACCAGCGTTTCGCAGTGCGTTGAACATCGGAGTGATTTCCCGACGGCATCGAAGCGATGTAATTTCGATTGGGTGAGTTTCGAATATTCCCAGATGTAAACGAGCACGGGATGTTCTTGATCAACTATGGACCAAGCAGACTAATCTAAACTAGATACAGAATCTGTGACACGTTGATATTCACTAGCGGTCAGCTTCGTTCATAGGAGTAGCTTCCCGGACGCCGGTGCCGCTCATTCGTCTTCGGCTGTAGATTTCTACAGAAAATACCTGTCGCTCGACCATTATAGGACTTCAATCCGGAACGTCTGATCCCAGAATGCAGATGATCCCCGAATTGATTATAGCTGCTCGCGAGCCATCGACATTCGGTGAATTATTCACAGACGTGTCGTTAATCGCACTTCGGATGGTCTCGAGCGAACTCTGGTGATGGTCGCAGTTATGAGCCACATACAGGCTATGAGGAACGTGTAGCTCCCAAGGGTGAAGTACATCGCCTTGTACGACTTCATTGTGTCCCGGAAAAACCCTGCAAAGCGGACACGTAGGTTATGGCCCTGCCATTGAGAGAGCTTACGCAGCAAAAGCTCTTATTCTGCCTTCCGGTCGGATTCTCTAAGTTTGTAGGAAAATACATGCTCTGAAGCCCCAGCTACACCTGAAATATAAGTTTCGACTTCCGCAAACGAGAGAGGATATACAACGCTTTGTCGGGAGTTGAAAGAGCGGTAAAAACTCACCGATACAAAAGGGTCGGGCCAGAGAAGCGGTTCCAAGGAGCATTCTGTATACTCCAAACGTGAGGGGCATTTTCTCGATTCCGAGATAGTCGGCCAGGAGGACAGTGTAAAGAGGAGTCCCACAGCCGATGCCGAAGCCAAGTAGGACGGAGGCCGGCACGAGATGCTCGAATTTGTTGCACAGAGGAAAGATGAACCAGCCGAGAGACCAAACGAAATATATTGCCGCCATCATCGTATCACGTCCCATGTACCGTCGATCTGTGGGAACGGAATGAGGTTCGAAGACTCTTCGAGTTAGACAACGCGGCTCTCCGGAGTCTGCGAATCAATTGTTTGAGGGAGTTTCTAGGGTCCGAACCGCGAGCTAGCCAAGCTATCCGGCGGCACTCTCGCGTTCGGTAGTGTCCCCCGGATTGCAAGCTCTTCTCTTCTGAGAATCTGCTGAAATAAACTCCGGCTACACTAAAAGGTGGAACGGAGTTCAAGCGTCGAACTCGATCGCTGAGATGCTGGTGAGCCCAAGGAATAGGTTGGAGCACGCAGCCGGTCGCAAGGCCCAAGCGCGGCTAAACGTCCCCAAGGTCGTCGTTTCCGAGAGGGTCAATTTCGTAAGCGGATCGAGAATGTCGAAGACCACTCCGGAAAATCGTTCCGTTCCAATTGAATTGCCGCTGTCGAGGATCATCAGATCATGGAGGGCGAATCCCGGATCGGGAAGCCATCGAAAATCCGATAAATGGAGAAAAAGCTCTCGAACCCCGGCGGGAAACATGTCTCGAGGAGAGGCTTTCAGAAATGTGTTCCGGAGGAGCGGACGGGATTCCGAACGAGATTTATCTGGTGGTGGGAGTATTTCACTTTCTGATCGAACGTATTTTGGGCTTGCTGCGACGTCAAATCTCTCGAGCTTTGTCGAACCCATCCGATTACCAAGCCTGTTCTCTCGTAGAACCCATGACCTCTTGCATGGAAGTGGACTAATTCGAAAACAAAGAGTCTATTGGACGCCGTAAAAATGCTCTTACCACTGATGGACCCGATGAGCAGTCGACCCGAGATGTCGCCAATCGAGAACGTCGTTAAAATCAGAGCAGCTGTGTTGCTCGAATAACCTTTCTCCGAGACGAAATCCACAGCCGTGACGGGGTAAATGACGAAAGAGAACGAGAACCCGATACCGGAGAGAACGATCATCGCGTAGATGGGCTTCAGGAGGAAGTCGAATTGTGCCGCGAAGCTATAAAGTTTCTCCACGGTGCCATTGCTTTCGATGACGTATGTATTCTCCTGAAAAGAGAGGCAGCGATCGTTATTCCGAATTTCTCCTCGAAAAATAATCGTGGACGGCTTTTGCTTGTTTCATCAAAAGGCATCGATCATAATCACAGAAATGTCCTGCGTCGAGAACCGAAGCCTCGAATCTCTGGAAATCGTGAGAAATGACTCATCCCACGAGCATCTGGGCCACGATGAGCCCCACACCGCGTCAGAGCCGTGCCTCTGACTTTTCGTGGAGAATCCTCGGACTCTCCCTGGAACAGCTGCACGTTTGCTGAGCTTTGATGGATAGTGATTTCCACATGCTCTTTCTCTGTGCCATTCGGTCGATACGACGAGCTCTTGACAGTTATGTGATAGCATATGTCGCCTCGTCTCCGGCCGTGGAGACTGAGATATGACCGAGTGCTCGTATGCAGACATATGACACTCGGGTGCGACTCGAAGTCATCGCTTGATAACGCTGCTATCAGGGGACAGAATTGCCGCGCGTCCGAGGAACGCCAGGAGCTGCTCACGGAGCCCCGTGGAACGGAGAATTCGCTTCTACTTCGGATCCGAGACGACTATGCCGGGATCGGAGGTCGTTTCTCGAATCTTCGGAGGAGAATCCTCGCACGCGACTTCCACGCAAAATATCATTCATCGCTTATTACTGCGCAAACATCCCGAACCCCGTGCCAGATCGATCGAGGATTGACAACTGTTTCTCAATGACGTCACAGTGTCGCGAGGCGGCCCCCGAGAGACGTCGACAGCCGACAGGACCGGGAGCATCGCCGTTCGAGGATGACTTTGCCAAGATTCTATTCTACGAGCATCAGGCGTCATTACCGATGCGGACAGAAAGCAGAAGAACATTCTTCTTGACAACTCAGGACACTCGCTCCTCACTCAGTCGGACACAATCGGGGTCTCCTCAGAAAAAGGGAATTCTGTCTCGATTGGTTGCGCAATGGATTTCAGTTTTTAGAAATTGAAGCCGAAGCTTTCTCTCCTTTCGCTCTGTCCGCAGAGAATCCCTTAACGATTCGATGGCGACCGAAACTCCCTCGGAACATATTAGTCGATCCGGGAATCTGCGGGGCAAAGTGGAGTGTCTCGCTCCGGGCTCTTCGATTCGTCGCTTGCGGCTCAGATCCGACTCCGGAATTCAAGTTCCGATACTTCAGGCAAGAGCTCGTCGGTGGACCCTCCCACAGAGACCATCGAGGAGAACAGATGAGGGGATGTCGGTGCTTCATCGTGAGAGCAGGACTTTCGCTTCCGGAATCAGACGCGACGAAAAACTCAGAGAGCGGATTGCGGCTTCTGCTATTAAGCTGCTCCGGAAAAGATGAACCCGGGAGAGGGAGTGGTTTCGGGAACAGAACAGCGCTGCTCATCAGGGGTAAAGAGTTCCGAATAAAAGCTCATCGATATCATCTCCATCGATTGAGATGGATCGAGCGGCTATTCGATTACGCTCCCTTGCCCGCTTCCCCTGAACTTGTTCGAAGGGATGTATAGTCGTTTTCGTATTCCTCCGGCAATCGATCCGTGAATTCTACTCACCTCGGGCGCCGCTTTGCCCAGTGGCGATTTCTGGGGATTCTCTTCATACGGCGGTGGTGGCGGTGGCATGTTCTTTATTTCCTCGGGTGTGGGTGGTCGAGCGTTCTCCAGAGCTTTCTCTTTGGTTTTTTGTCTCTCTTTCATCATTTTTAGGGGACTCTTGAGTAGGATGGAAGCCGCCCAGCCGTTCAACGCCAATGCGCCGAGAATTAAGAATGTGTATCGCAGTCCGCACCATTGAACAACCTTGAATAGAACTGGAGGCACGAAAAAGGAGCCCAGCGTTCCTCCGGCGAAATATATACCTGTAAGGATGTTCATGTAATCGATGGAGCAGTGGGAGTTTCGCGAGGGCTGCGGGACTTCCCTTCGATCGGCGCTTCCTCGAAAGATACACTTTCCTTCAATATCCACTCACCGTTGCCGGAGACGCGGTTCTTCAGGAAATACTGGTTGATTATGATGGCGTTGGAAAAATACATCATTCCTTGACCGAGGCCGACAATAACGCCCAGCACTATCGTAACCATTATCACGTCGTAGATCAGGCAGCAGAAGAAGTATCCCATCGCCACAAGGAGGACACCCATCGCCGAGATCGGACGCGTGTCCACATATCGGTAAAGTATGCTACAGAATATCACTGGAATCAATGAGAATCCGGTTGATTAGATGAACATCTATCTTGCATCTTGTTGACAATTCCCGAGCATATTAACATCGAGTGACAGTTCCGCTCATCCATTCAGGAATCAATGTCAATGAGGATGCTCCGGCCCCCGGAGCTCAATCCTCCGGATTCTCCCAGCAGAGAATCTCTGCCGGAGTATAGGAGCGTGTCAACTTCGGACACTGACGGGTCGTTCCATTCACTATTCTCTGGACGAATTCGGATTCGAACTTGCTCTCTGCGCTTCTCATGAAGGGGGACTCGAGTTCGGATTGATTGAATCGGTCATTAGAATACCCCGTCGGAGATCGGGTGACCGTCTGCTTCTATCGGAAATGAATCTTTTCCTAGGGAGAAGCCCAAGCGGAAGGAGCGAGGGACACCTCGATGATCAATCGACGCTCTCTTATCGAGAGCCAAGGAACAATTATCATGGTATGCTTGTCTCGCGACGAACGTCGCGTGGAAGCTTTGCCGCTCGTGGATTAGGCTCGTCCTCTACTCATAATTAGTACAGCCTCATCTAGCAATCGAGTCGGAATATCCCCCATATCGGAAGGGATGGCTTTTCCCCGGGGATTTTTCCATCCCATACCAGAGAATGCGAGATTGACAACATCGATCATATACTTCTTCACCATGCATGTTGGGATTATCTTGTTGTCATGGGAGCATCCCGGTGACACCATTAAGAGCCCGACAAGGTCATTACCGTGTGAGACTCTTGAACGTAAGACCAGGTCTGCAATCGAAACTAGTTCAGCACCGTCATTGAGAGCTCTGCCAGCGCTTTCTAATTGTCCTGTTTGTGCTGGCTCGAAATCAAAGATATCGAGCCGGCGCTTCCCCTCTGAGCCGAGCTGTATTGAAATCTGCACGGCAACTCCGGAGAAAATGCCTAAGCGGAGGATGAACCGCTCGGCGATAGGATGGTCGCGCCAAGTTCCCAGAAAGGAACGAAATCTCCGAGGGAAGAGCACCTGAACTTTATCCACGCATGGAGTCTCGAAGAATAACTATAAGAGAATAAAACTCATGCCCACGAAGAGGAGGCCCGTCACATAGTTGATAGTTGATGGTCGCATGCCGTGGTAGCAGAGCCCATTTATTCCTTACTCCCTCAGAGCTAAACGGCCTCGAGATCGCCGAGGTACTCCACATTTTCCCTCTCATAGCGACTTTTGCGAGATGAATATTTCAAACATCTGAAGATGAGCTCTCTTGTCGTAAATGTTTAGTGTTCGCTCCAGTATCTCGCTCGTCGTCCCAGAACACTAATTGTGGTCTCGGATACGCTACCAGAAATAGACGGACCTATCTCAGTCTCGGTGATGGATTCGGCAAGATGTTTAGTAGAGATTCTCATCGAATAGCCCTCGAGCACCTGAGGTCCCTTAGCACTTCGGTAATTTCTTTTGTATAAGGCCTCCTTGATCCTGTGATCCAGCCGATGAATTAATTCCCGATTTCACGATTCATTAATCGCGGAGGAAGGACGAGACACTTAGCTTCTTCCTTTCTAGATCTCGCCGCTACCCGTGTGGATCCGAGTCATCGAGATTTCGGTTACCCGAACTCTTAGCGAGCGCATACCATCTTTCGTGCCCATTCGAATATTCGTGCGAAGTCAGCTGCCCGAATGGAGCACTCATCTCTCCTCATCCCTTTTTTCTCATGAGCTGGCTCTCCGGCTTTGTTTCCGAATTCCGATAAGCAATCAAGTATTCGGTTGGCAATCACTCTCAAGAGTGGAAGCAGTAGCCACCCGGTCCGCGTATCATGGGAGTGCCTCGATAAAGAACTCTTATCTTGGCCCCAATAGCCTTGTGCGTAAAATGACATTGTACCCCCACAGAAATTTTCTGCTTTTCATCGCGTCGGAGTCACGTCACGAAATATTTCATTTTAACGCTTCAGGAGAGGGGAACACACCATAAGGAGTGAGGTTTTTTACGGTTACATAATTCGATGAGTGAATGTATGCGGATCGTCAGTGGCCTCACCGCAGTCCGCGGATGACCATCAGAAATGTCGCTATCCTCTTGCTCCACAGGTTTTCGCGTTCACATCGGCGTCTCTCCTATGTTATAAAGCGCGAAAGTTTTGAGTGGACACGAGATTTGAGCGAAACTTTCCTCCCGAACGGATCTTCACCGCTCGGATAGACGGGACCGGATAAACGACCCCGAGACGGATGGAAACCAGTACGGCAACCTGTCGACGTCCCGCCCGATCCGGATCGATTCCGTTGTCGTCTTCTGACAAACCTCTAAACAGACGGCACGACACGCAATATTCCCCAATGACTGGAGAGGCTTATTTTCCCGATCAGAGACTCAATGGTCCGGTATGCGAGCGACTCCGCGGGCTCCCGGATGTTGAAACGTCGGGGACTGAGATGGTTTTCGAGTCATTTCCGATCGAAGATGTGCCTATTCGACTTGGCAAGCTTCACTTCTATCGATTCACTTCTGCTCGCCCAATCAGGTTGGATCGCCGGGGACGTCGATTGACATTCAAGAAAAGTGTCGCATGACGAGAGCTAGGTTCCATTATCTACCATACTTTGAGCTTTGACTCTCAGCCAAGATCGCCGAGGACACAGAGTTCCTCCATCAATCAGGCGCTCCTACCACGGGACATCAAGAGCTGTTCTTCTCGGAACGATTCCAGGTCTTTCGATCCGAGGAAGAAACCTGTGATATTCTCAACGGCTGCCTCTAGTGCTACACGGGGGCGAATTCACGAAGCGGAGCACTTGATTAGAAAGTCTTTTCAGTGTCGCCGACGGACACCGCCTCGATTATACCACTGGACAGCCCAGAAGAACGACTACCGAACGAAAGCACGACAGATAAACGTTACGCGTAACACTATGCCGTAACCGATAAAAGGCGCAAGGTCGCTCGTACCGCAGTGTCGTACACTAGCCGCCGGACAGCGTACGAACCTGAACCGCAACGACGTCAAAAGTCGCCGGCCTACAGCGGCTGAAATTTAGGAGCTCGTTTGAATCAGAAACGCATACCTACGCATAATCCAAATACTGCTCAGCTTTCGCGCAGGCGCGCGTTCGGCCGCGCCGTCGAGCCAGAAACGAAGCAGATCGCGGCGGAGCCATGCTAACGGCTGCCAGATCGGTAATTAAGACGCCTCGGATGACCGAGAGACCGAGATGATTCTTGTTAGTGACAGCTCCGTCGTCCACCGGCGATGGGATGGCAACAGCCGGTCACTGTCAGTAAATTCTGACCGACTCGAGTTTCCTCCAATATGGGTCAAAGTATCGGTCGGTGAGACACAGGATACGTCGAGCTAACGATCTTATCTCGGTACAGTCGAGTGTTCTTCTCGAAGAAATGCTCGAATTTCTGCGCAGGTTCCCAAGTCGGGAAATCCGATTCTGGGTTTGTCTCCACGCGCGACTCCCGCTCGTTGCCCCGTCGAAGCACTTCATCGGATCTGCGAGTTCGAGAAATCCTAGTCTCCTTGACAACGACCACTCACCACTGAAGCTGCTCACTGTATCCATGAGGCTGAACGCCCATGATGCTTCCTGACGATTAATGCCGAATTCCTGTTGGTAGCAGATGAACATCACTCCCGCCGACCGATTGACGATGGTCAGCCAGAAGAAATTCCAGGCACACGCCACAGCTATTGCCCATGACCGAGGGGTGTCCTGGTACGATTTTTCCATCTACAAAAGAAAATGGTCAGAGTTAGTTTTGCGGGCGGCTGCGCCACTCCCTCCGAGGTGCATGCTCCGAGAGCGACCGGTTATTATTTTCCGCGAGAAAGCACCAAGAAGACATCGGAGAGGAGTCTCTGTATGTTTTCTTCTCGGAATGTCAAGACGTTCGCACCCCTGCGTCGGCCTGAAAAATAGGCTTTGATGGCCGGCGCTTCGCTATCGTGTGCGTCGTCGGCGAGAGCCGCCGGCTCCGTTTGTGGTGCTTCACAATCTCTTAACCAGTTCAAAATTGTGTTCGGTTCAAGCTACTAAAAGTACTCGGTTCAAGACCGCCATGAATGTGACAGGCTTTGGCCTTGTCGCGGCGACCTATCGCGATCCTTGTTTGGAAACCCGATCTCCATCCCACAACAACCTGCTGTCGGTTGATGGCATGCGACTTCGCGCTTGACACCTGAATCGAGCCGATTAGGAGGAAAAACTCTGGCGAATACTCTCCCGGAAACTCAATCTGGCTATTGCGTCTTTGAAGAAAATCGCTGAGCAGAGGGACGGAAACTTCGAAGAGCAGACCCGGAACGAGCGACCGCGCGATAAGCCGGGGCGAGAACATTTCCAGGCACCGGAGTCGTCTTCGAATGGACCTATTCAGCTTGATTTGGAAGGGGGGTCGGGAAAGGATCTCCGCGAGTGGCTCTTGATGAAAACGCGGGATCTAGCCGGAATTGATGACAAGTAGCGGCCTATCGATTTTCCCCAAGGTGATCGGGAAAATGGGATTAGTTGAATCTCCAACGTTGCATATGCTCTTGACAATGTTCTTACCGCGTATCCTTGACTCTGCTCTCGAGAGAGCCAAATGGTGTCACTCTTTACGCTGACAACGTCGACTGGGGCAAACGTCTTCGAGAACGCCGATTGTGTGTGAAAGTCAGGCGCATGTTCGTCGACCACCCGTGATCATAGTAGCGCACTCGCCACGCTTCATGTCGTCCAATTATTGTCAACTTGCGAATCGCTGAGTCGTGCCGAGACGTATTATATAATAACATTAGGTACCTAATAGTATGTCTCATCCAGACAAAAAATGTCAAGGGGGCATGTCTCGCTCTCATGGGACAAGATTAGAAACTCCTGCCAGACCAGCCAGAACTCCTTCTGGCTACCTCTGCTGCTGCCCGAATGTCTTGGTCGCGCTTGCGCTCCAATCTCACGACTCAAATCGATAAATGATATGAAAGTCCGCTTTTTCCGGATATCGATACGGCCGGGGAAAACTCCTGAGATCCTCTGGAGCCGCGAAGGATTCGTTCCGGGAATACGCGTCGGGTGTCGAGCTCCGAGATCCGTGAGCTAGTCAGTACCAGGAGGTGGTCGTCGTCGAACGATTAGGCAGCCGGGACCGTGTCTTGGGCCCCGGCCAGAATCGACGAGGTGCCATTGCTTCTCGGGAAACCCCTGGAGAAGCGATCCGGGCGAGGTTCCACGGCGAGGTGCTTCTATTCTATGGTGTCTCCCACGTAACCTCTCCGAGGCTACGCCGATTCCTCCGCGCGCGATGAGTTCCCATGGATGAACCACGAGAATTCCATGACCGTGCAGGTTTGGTGAATAATTTGCTGTCGACCTCGAACTCGAGCAGCGCGTGACGCACGTGAACGGATCTCAATGAAGCGTCGCTGCGAGCTCGAGTGTAATTTTCAAGAGCGGTTGCTCGCTCGAATACTCAAGAATCTCTCCTTAAATATCCTGATCAAAGCGGTCGCACGTCATACCGCTCTTGCGGAGCAGCCACCAGAAGCTAGCCAGCGAATTAGGACTCGTCTGCTGCGATTCGAAGGCCTTCATGCCACAGCAGGCCTTCGATCTGAAGCTTCCGGTGAAATGAAAGCGTCACAGAAAAGTGCACAACTTCGGTAATCGGCAGCGTCCGTAGCAACTGGATAAACGGAATTTACGATGACAGAGGGAGAGAGACCTCCCAAACGGTTTAGATCCGGTGTCAAGTTAACGAGGCGAGACCACAAATCCTGAGGGTCTTAGGCCATTGTTTGTATGAAGTCTGGTCCGCTCAATGGAGTCGGATATCGATCTACGTAAGAGAGGAAATGGAGGGCATTACGCTCGACATCGGAAATCGTATCGGTACCGATAGACGAAACAAGGGATACCCGCATTGCAATTTCTCGTGGAGAAAATACGTCTCCCAGCAGTCAGCTCGCCAAGTGGTAGGTAGTCCGAGTTTTTGAGGAGCAATCCAGAAATCGTGATGTCACTCAAAACAACGACGATGCTGCTGACGACGGCGAGGGAGGCTGTCGGAGCAAACCATGGGATCGGATCACTCAGGAAACCGGGAAGGAAATCGAGCAACCCATTCGAATAGATGTATGAATGAACGGCGACATCGATCGGAGTTACAGAGAACCGGAAAACAATCAGAAACTTAATAGAGTTAAAGTGACCAAACAACCGGAAACACGATCCGGGCTCTGTGAGACTCGTAGCTACACCTCGCTCACACAAGCTCTTCCGCGACGATAGTGACTCAAGTTTCGGCCGATGACCGCGAATCGCGATCGCCTACGATGATGTGTGTACTTTCCAGAGCTGAGAAATGCGATTCGGATTTAGGAAAGTAGCGAGTTCACGCTGAATTTGGAGCACGACGAGGAGTTCTCTGGTTTATCAGATGGAGAGCAAGAACCGGCAGTTCGAAATAGTTAGAATCTGAGATATCGGAAGATATTGACTCCCGCAGTCTTCGCTCTTTGTCCTCTCGTAAAATTTAGTAATCATCACCCTGAGCGGAAAAATGGATTTACGCACAAGATCATTAGATAAACTTCCATCGTAGGTGGTCTGTACGCTGAAGCTGCTGCTCGACATTCGCTCAAGAAGGATTTTCCTTATGCCGATTCCGATCTACGCCAAGTGTGCTGATCAGAGCTGGGACGGCTTAGTGTTTGATGGAGCCGATCGCCAAGAGCCCGTCAAATCGAGACACTTCATGCCTGCCGAATCATTACGTGTTTTTTTTTATCAATGGAACGCGAATTCTTCCAAACATTCGTCTATCGAATCTACGATGTGACAGAATCCGAGTTCCCGAAACCGAATCATTCCCGCAGTCCGACAGGATTTTTTTCAGACGGCTATCCTTCCGAGTCGTGAATCCCTTTTTTTTTTCAACCACGTCTCGGGGCACGTGAACAGACATTGAATAACAAGGAGGATTCATTCTCCGGTCCAACAATGAGAAATCAGGAGCTCGTACGCGCCGAGATCTCACCTTTGTTGCGAATAGTACGGAAGATCGGTCCCGGAACGTCAACTGATCACAGGTCCGGGGGACCCCTCACGGAGTAAGACAGTGGCAGCAGTCACAGAGTTCGATTTGTTTCACTGATCGAGACACGGGGAAAGGAACAAGAAATGCTTTCCAAGGAGTGAACTCGGTGAACGATGTCGATGTACGGGCTCGATCCAGATGTTGACAGTAACATAAATAAACAAAAAAAGGAACAGTTTTCTTTCCTGGCCTGAAGAACCACCTGGCTGAACGCCCACTCCGGCGACGAGAGACCCCTACTACAACACGACTAGACGAAGGTGATGTTGTTGGATCAACATCTTGTCTCTTTTTTGAGAGGCAGAGGACCTCCTTGCCAACTGGTTGGTTTCTCTCCCCGCAATCTTCCATGTCGCGTTCGGACAATAACAAATCACATTGGAACTACCACCGGCCAAGCGAACCACTGTCATTCCACGCACCGACATATGTTACGGAAGCCTATAAATTCATCTCGCTATCCGTACCTCGTTCATTCCTCAAGTCAACTACCTCAAACTGCCACCGCGGCCGGAGATGAGCTCAGAGCTAATTGGAAGTTCCGATGAGCTGCATGGGCGTAGAAGCCCAGAGGTAGGAGGCGGCCAGGAGGAGCAGGATGTAGAACCGCGAGAAAGAGTAGGAAAGAAACGTATCTCATCGCGGGCGATTCGAGGTGAACGCGCATTCGCGAGTAGCGAATCGCGCGAAAACTCCATGGATCGCGGGATGACTTCACCGAGGCAGAATATAACTCGGTCATCCAAGTGCTCTTCTCCGTCGGAAGGAGAGGAAGCATGTCATGACATAATTTAGCACGAATACAATATGTAAGACCAATCTATTGGTGTTTAGACGCTTGGTGGCGGAATTCCCGACACAATCAGGGAATTGGTAGGTATTGCTTTTGACCTTCCTCGACGTGGAGGAATCGCGAATGCGTCCATGAGTCCCTCTTGTCCTCAGCCAGAGGATCGGAGGAGAATAATAAGAGAGCCTCGAGATAGCTCACCGAAACTTTCAACACGAAGTGCCTACAGTTTATACATATTCATCGCGCTCAGCCACCTCGAAAACGAAAGGAGGTTCAACCATCTGCGTACGGTCCTAAGCTTCGCGGAACTTAGCAACTGCGCATTTTGATCAGGCCAGGGAAGAATATGATGCTCATTCCCTCAAGTCTCGTGGAGCACACTCCTTCGACTATGGATGTTGCTCGCTTGCTTCGGAAGGAATAGTTCTGGTCGGCTTTTCGCCGCGAAATCCGTGCTCGTCTCGCATGGGAGGACGCTACTCGCTATCAAGAGAGCCTCAAGCTAAACTCGAGGAACCCGCGCTCATTAACTCACACTTGTTTGCTCCGCATCCTCTTCCTCGTTCCGCAAGGTCCCGTAAGACCGCATTTTGAAGTCTCGAAGAAACCCGAGCTCAGAGCATAGTACACAGCACGCTCTTCTCACACAGCACTAGCCGAACCGCTGCAAGGCTCGAATTGAGGGGGCTCTCGTTCGAGCAGTCGAGCAAGGACTGTGCCGTAAGCACCGTTAAATAGCTCGGCATGAAGGACCATATGTGTTTCCGAAATGTTTTCAAAACAGCTTCGGAAGGTGCACGTCCAGCTGTGCTCATCGACTGTTGGCGTCAGTGAGCTTTTCATGAACTATCATCGATTCGT